ATTTTCAATATTACATAGAATAGGCCAAAACTGACTCCCACTACTTTTGGCAAGTGGTAACCCATCCACATTTATTTCTATCTGTAATTCTACAAGAGGTGTAAAGTTAAATCTGTCCAACACTGAAATAATAGACTGCTTTAATCCAAAATGGTAATAATAACCAGGGAACATATGACGAGCTTCATATGGGACAACTTCTTTTGTTTTCAGAACTGTCCGTGCATCTATGGAAATTGGTAGATCAAGATCTTGTTTTAAAATATGTAATAATTTTGTGTATGTATTTTGTGGTACTCTACAATCGACTGCCCAAGTATTTAAATGAGATAAAAAAGAGTTAGTTTTCTCTGGAGAAAAAATATTTTTTATATCCTACTGAACTATTAAAACCATATAATACCTTGGTTACGATAATCATAAACAGGGTCTTAACTCCCAAGGGAGTTAAGGATTTTCATAACTCCCAAGGGAGTTAAGGAAGGGAGTTAAGGATATCATAACTCCCAAGGGAGTTAAGGATTTCCATAACTCCCGCTTTTAGCTTGAATAGGTAACACTTTGACAAAAAATAGAAATTTTGATTTATGGCTTATTCCTTTATAAAAATAGACAGAATACAGTAAATTCAGTAGGATATAAAATTATCTATGTACCACGGGAATTATCAGGAGTTAATACCCACGGGCAATTGGTGTCCCTCGGGCCGAAGGCCCTCGGGACACAAACGTTGCCCTGGGGTATTAACACCTGCATAATTCCCTTGATACATAAATAACTATTACATCAACTGGCTTTTTAATAATAGCTTCAACTAATTTATCACTAATTTCAGTGTGTTGATTATCATTAGCTGTGTTAAAATCAGGAGCACGAGGAACAGAGGAAGAAAGGGAGGAAGAAGTGAGAAGAAGCAATGGATCTGGGGGAGTACTGATGGCTTGTGAAGTACTTGGAAGATTCCGTTGATTTTTGAGCCAACTTTCCTGTCGGACTTTTAATTGTTTCTTATATTTCTTTTTTTCTTGGTTTATTATCCGATTCACATGACGAATGGAGTATTGGAATCCTCTTTTCCGAGTCTAGAAAAATTAATTGGGAAGCCTAATTAAAATTATTGATGAAATTATTAAAATTATAAAAACTAGTTTTACTTTTGTTTATAATAGTTTTTCGAAAAACGCTATGTGTATTTTTTCAATGGTATTTTTGAAGTTTCTCGATTTCAAATTTTATTGTCGGGTAAACCGAGGGGTAAAGTTTTTGTCTGGTTTATATAATATTAAGTATGTTTATTGAACAAAAATGTTTGTGTCTCCAAATCAATGACCTCCAAATAGAGAATGACAAAAGAAAATATTTGGATAAGAACACAAAATAAAAAGCCGATCAAATATTCCCCAGTATATTATGCAAATACAAAGCGTTTTATTTTTAGTCCTTATTCGATTACTTCCTTTTTCCTTATTAGTTTATGTGAGTAGGTGGGTAAAGGTTAACTGGATACTGGATATTGAATGTTCACGTTCCAAGAGACTCAACATGTTGAGTGCTTAGTGAGCGGCTTTGTTAAAAACAGATGAAAATCAGCTCTAGGCCAATCGAAACTGTTCTACCTTGTGTATTCCACTTGATGGAACAAAGTCGCTCACTAATCACTGAACATGTTGAGTCCCTTGGAACGTGACCAATGATGCTTTCCAACAATGACAAATATAAAACAGGACCTTAACGTCCATAACCTAACCTAGCTTGTATAACTGAACTGAACTGAACTGTAAAATACATAATTATCAACCCCTCATTTCATATTACAGTAGTAATAATTGCCATTTCATAAAAAGTGGCACTTACCTTTTTAACTTCTTCTGCTGGGGAGCTCATTTTAACTCGAAACAACGGATCACTACGAAAAATATGCAATAAAATTGCAAGTCATGCCATTTGACAAGTTAGGATTATTTTAGGTTAGGGTACTTAGGGTAGCGTTCACAGACACTCGATCGGTAACTTTCAATGTTTCTATCTTTGTTTGAAGCGTGAAAAGAGCTGAGACGGAAATCGGTGCCCCTGCCCGACTTGAATAGCGAACGCAGCCCGCGACTCAAGGATATTAGAACAGAAGGCAATCCATTCAATGACCGCAGGGAGTAGACAAACAGCTGTGTGATCTAGAAAACATGCAAAATGCAAAGTAGTTATTTGATAAAACTTTTGGTGGAATCCCTGACGTTAGCCAGAATCTGGCATGCAATATAATGTTCTAAAAATTGTTGGATTGCCTAATTGGATTGATTTCGGTTTTCTTTCGGTTATAATACCTACTACACTACCTAAATGAAACTGTCAATTGTTGTCAAGCCGATGATAAAATTATATTGTTTAGTAGAGTAGATTGATTTAAATTATCAGAAAATACTATTATATTTTTATCAATGATTATGAACATAACAGTGACATTATATGATTCAGAAAATGTCACAAAAGAATGACTATGAACATGATAGTGACATCTTAGCAATGTGCTTCTAATGTTTATTGTGGCTCTAAGAAAATATGTTAGCAATATTGAATTCAGGTGTTCATGTAATATTCGGAAGATTGTTGAGATTTGAAATATTATATCAATATGATTTCAAAAACATCACAAAAGTTACTTGAAAAAAATGTTACGTGATGTTTTTGTGATATAACATGTTTGGCGGGAAGTAGATTTTACACCTTTCAGTTTGGTAGTTGATACGAATTTTATTTTATTTATTACCTTCATAAGTTGGTAACATTTTGATATGTCTTTGGGAGGTTATGCATGAATCATATTTTGATGACAAACTGAAAAATAGCAGAGTTGGACTGAAGCCTATTTTTATATTTTGAATAGGTAATATACCGTTGAAACATACTCAATTCACAATCCAAAGCCAAAACTCAAGGTAAGAGCATATTTCGTAAGCAAAGCAGGGAACAAAAAATATGGGATTGATGAGGTTCTAAGTAGTCATGGCCATGAAGTTAACCTCCATACCATTGTCAATATAATCCTATTAAGATGGCATGGGAGTTTACAAAGAACTTTTACAAGCACATAAACGAGGAGGCTTCATCGAACAACAGAGTTGTCAGTTTATGGAAAAAGGCCTTGTCTGCCTATAATCCAGACTGTTAGGCATTGTGAAACTTTAATACACGAGGACTGGGAGAAATTATTGGGAAACACTAGCTTCGAAAACATTTCTCCTATCATCATTCGCTGCAAAGAGTCAGATTCTGATTCCGAAAGCTTGATAGATTCTGATTCTGATGAAAAAGTTATGGAAGTTGAGAATAATTGAAGCTAGAATTTGACATTTGAATCCTAAGGCTCGAATAAGATTATCATCATCGTCATTCAGCCTCTAGTTGCGTCCACTATCCACTGTCGAAACTCTCCTGATATCGTCTGACCAGCGAGCTGAAGGTCAGCCAAGGCTGCGTTTATCACTTTTAGGTCGCCACTTGTGAATTCTTTTAGTCCATCTCCAATCCGTCAGTCGTGCGACATGTAGGTACTGCCCATATCCGTTTGAGCTTTGAGATACACTCTCTAATATCTACTGCTTTTGACCTTATACAAAACTTATCCAATACTTTCTCCTCTCCACCATTTTTTTGCTTTTTTTTTTTAAATATTTATGTACAGCTCTTTTTAATTAATAATTAATGTGTTTACAGTTATTTCAATTAAGTATTTTCCATGTTATGTTAAGTTCTGCTGAATACAGTACCTATATTTTATATTTATCAGTGATTTTTATTTTGCCCCATTGCATTATACAGTGTGTCCACTCAAGCATATGGGAAACTTTTTTATTACTTATCAATTTTACGAAAAAAAGTTATTCTATATAAAAGTTTCTGCTTCTTGAAAAAATAGTATTAAACTATTAAAACTTGGAATAGCATGTACAGGGTGGGCGAAATTGGACACTTTCTTATGGAAACACCCTTTATTTTTAGAGATAGAAAAAAATGGACCCCCTACTCTGAGGCTCAAATTTCATGAAATCTTGATTGGTGCAAACCGCATTTTGATATCTTCAACCGTTTAGCCGTTAGAGGGCGATTCTCGATTTTGAGCAATACTGTAGAGCCTCCATAACTTTTTTGTTTATGAAAATAATTCATTTCCGTAAAGACCTTTTGGAAGCACTTTTTCAAGCAGAATTCAGTGACGTTCTCAGTTTTTTTCTGTCTGGCTTCGATTTCGAGATATTCACCAAAATCCGATTTTTTTCAATAGGACTTCCTATATATTAATAGTTCATTAGAAAGCTATGCTTTCGCTGATTTCAATAATATAAGGTTCGATAGGTTTATCTCTAACAGTTTTCGAGAAAAAAATTATTTCGGTTTTTGTCATAAGAAACAATGTGTTGGAAAAGGACTTTATCTCTGTAAGGAAACTGAGAAAGGTCTCTTTCTTGCACATTGTTTCTTATGACAAAAACCGAAATAATTTTTGTTCTCGAAAACCTTTAGAGATAAACCTATCGAACTTTATATCATTGAAATCAGAGAAAGCATAGCTTTCTAATGAACTATTAATATATAAGTAGAGTAAGATGGTATGTTCACCATCATAGGCTCCACCCCATGGGTGCGAGAGAGACAGCACTATACCCCGTCTCTGCGGGTGTAAGAGAGAGAGAAGGCACAATATCAGCACTGTGAATATCAGCCATCGCCAGCGCCCTCTATCCACCATCACGCGTACTATCAGCCATCAACTGAAACTACTCTTGTGAGACAGTAGCGCAACCTATCCTAAATCAATCGCACTACCTATGATTAGTTATTCGCGAGCACAGGAATCTATAATTTTCTTGTCTTTAAATAATTAAAAATAAAAAAAGGTCTTTATCAGCCGAAACAGCAATTAAGGTCAGGGTGAGGCAAGAGGGAACATCAATAAGGAAAGGTCAGTGCTGATCATCTGTACAAAAACTCATTAGGACTTAGGAATGCGACAAAAAGGTGTCATTGCCATGGGTAATACAGAATTAAACGATTCTAGAAAGAAATTATTTTTAATCACAGGTAAACAGACCCACATCATTGAAAATATATATTATTCTAGTCGAAGGTATCTTGCATATTATTAAAAAGTATGCCTGAGGTTATGTAAGAAATATAATATTTTTATCTGAAAAAATAAAGTCACACAAGCGCGAAATGGAGAAATCTCGTTATATACACTCTATTTTGTCTGTAAGTTTATCAACAAAGCGACCCAATTAAGTGTAGGACGGGGATTTTACCCAACCACCCAAAATCTACCTGGCCTGATGTAACCCCCTTTCTTTGTGTGTCTTCTGAAAAAATACGAATTGAAAAAAATAATTTTCTGTTCCAAAATAAATGTAGGTATTGTTAAGACAGAAAAAAAAAGCAATTTATTATTTTTATTAATTAAAAATGTGCACTTAGCTACCAAAAAAAAAACGGGTGGGTTTTAAATGGTTTCATTTCTACCGCCGGGAAAAGCAATAAATAATAGGTACGCCATAGCCTAGAGAAGGCCTTGATCTTGCAGGTGCAACGTACAAGCTTCCCTGATCAACGGCACCTATGTACAAGTTCAAACACGATTGAATTTTTGACGAGTTAAGGTGAGGGGGTGCTAGTAATGTATACAGACTACAGAGGAATGGGAATTTTAATCTCATTCAGCCTGGAATCGTTGCCAGGTGAAGAGTGACTATAGCACAGTTCTATACACAGAGCTAATTTTGAGCTTTTGATTTTTGTGTGTTTGTGAATCTACGATCTACTTTTGAAAAACCGTAAGTAAAAATTTCTATAATTATTTTTTAAAGTGTCCAAGCGCTTATTCCGATATCTACGATATACTTTTGAAGGCCCGTGACCAAAATTTCTATAATAGTTATTATTAAAGTGCCCAAACGCTTATTTTAATCCCCCAATAATTAGATATGTGCCAAAATACTCTATGCATTATGAAGTCCGCATAATTTTTTTTTTTCTAAATAGGATAAATTTAGAGGAATCGTACCTACCTATATACCTACATACCTATTTAAATTTTTCTCGAAAAGTATCCTTGCACCAATTACCTATGCGTAAGCGTTTCAGACATCCACAGTGAACCGATTACTTAACATTTACCTTTCACCTATGCACAAGCATCTAGACATGTGCGGTAGGTTTAGCATTAAGCATTGGACATACAGCTAAAGGTGGTTTTATACAGCACATAACCAAAGTTTTAACATAACATAAGAAATAAGATAAAATAAGACATAACATAATATAACAAATAAGAATTTTGTGGCGTTTATACAGAAAATAACATAACATAGGAAATCATTTCTAAGTAATCAGCTGGTATGTGTACTTATGAAAACTCTACCGAAAACACTATATTTGATCAAAAAAAATTATTAATTAATAATTTAGCAGAAACAGAAAATAAATATCGAGTTCCAAAAAATTACCAGTAGCTGAAAACAAAATCAAAATAGCTATTTATACAATAAGTTACGAAATGAGCGTCTTTTAGGCACGCGACGTGAAAATTGTCCAACGAGGCAAAGCCGAGTTGGACAACACGTCGAGTGACTAAAAGACATCGTTTCGTAACGTATTGTATACAAGATTTTTTCTACTGGCATTTTATAATAAAAAAAACACAATTTTATTTCATGTGAATAAGTCGATTACACCCAAAATCTTTGTCACCTGCTTTTACTTGACACCTGACACTTTTCATGCGATTTTCTTTTCAAAATTCGGCATCAATATTTAAAATCCTAGAAAGTAGGTAATAACACAAAGTTCTGTTTTGAGTAACCCAAACGTTCAATTCAGTAATTCCATTTTCAATATTCATAATAAATACAAAACAAAATTCAAATATGTGTTTAGTGTTGTTTTTTATTTCTGAATAATGATTGACACTTTTAGGCACTAGTGCTTAAAAATTACTTTTACGCACTCATAAGTCACTTTTACGCATTCAAAAGTCACTTTTACGCACTGAGTGCCTAAAAGTAACTTTCACGCACTCAGTGCCTAAAAGAATGTCGTTTCAAAACTGAAATGACAATCGAAAAGTTGCTATTATGAAACGTCAGTAGAAAAATAGTATTTTACATTATTAGCCAGGTAAAACAGTTTTTACTGGCGATTGAAGGAAATGACTAGCGAGCCACCAGGCGAGCTTGTCACCTTCAAGAGCCAGTAAAAACTGCTACCTGGCGTATAATGTACAATAATTTATTTGTTACTCATTTGTAAAAGATATAGGGACAAATAAAAAATCAATACATAACAAAAATTTGAAATTTATATGTTTTTCCTTGATTTTTTCTCACAGAAGTTTTGGTAGTTGGTATAACTATGAGAATGATACGTTGTTAAGACGTTGTTTCTAGTTATAAATAGGTTTTTTGACAGATTTCCATTTTGCAATTTTTTTCCAGAAATGAATTTATTACAAGATATTATTAATGAAGCTGCAGTCGTAGCCAACAGTTTATCACCAGAAAAGTCTCCCAGAAGGTACCTACAAGCAATTATTCTTGTGATAAAACCGATTTTTCAAAACTAAATAATTCTACTGACTTGTAAAAAGTTTTTACAGTTTAGCTGTCAATTTTACAAGTCAGTAGAGCCAGTAGCTCGTAAAAATCAATTTTCGCTGGTTATGTTTTGACTTGATAAGTGACGTTTTACAAATGAGTGACAAATAAAATTTTTTTTTGGGTTGGAATGTTTTGTTTACTAGCGTGCCATTGGACCCATTGGGGACATCAAGGAAGGAGCATGCACAGATCCGTTTTCACATAAAATAAGACATAAAAGTTAAAAGTTAACCAACTTTCTTATTTCTTAATTCTTATGTTATGCTATATTATGTTATTTTCTGTATAAACGCCATAAGGGGTCTCCATAAGGTCAACTTTTTATCTGATGTTATGTTATTTCTTATGGTATGTTATGTGGCTGTATAACCCCACCTTAAGTGATCGTGTTCGGGGGTTTTCCAGTGTTTCTTAGAAACTACCTAAACACAAAGCGTGGATATGCAATTTTTTTTTTTTCAAAAAGTTTTATTCGAATATCTTAGTACGCTTACGTCAGATGAATGAACTTTAGCTCCTCTTACAAATCACCTTATGCGCAATCGCTTTAAACACATGCACATAATTTAAATTTTACCAAATGCGATGTTTATAATTAATTTCCTAATTATATGTTTCAGAAAATGTTTGTATGTGAATATTGCGCAAAATCGTTCACCAGGAAGGATGCTTTGAAGCGCCATGGAGACTGCAGAGTAGCAGCCAATACCTGTAACCAATGCGAAGAGGTCCTGAATTCCAAAGGGGCTCTCCAACGTCATCTAAAAAAAAAACACCCTGCACCGAAGGGCTGTAAACGCCAACTAGAAAATCCGCTAATTTCCATAGTAAAGCGTGCTAGACTATATCAAGCTACTGGTAAGTTGAATTATATTTTTTCCTAGTTAACAACTACTGTTGTACTATATATTTTTTTTTGTTGTTGCTAAATCTGATTTATTGATTTCAGGGCCGTCAACTACACGCTGGTGTCAAGACTGTGCCCAGGACATTTTGATAAGTCAATGGGCTGGTCATCGTCGGAGTCTCCAACACCGGACCAACACCTGTGTTCAACAGGGAGAAGGCGTACAACTTGTCAAAACATCATTCAAGTGTCGAATTGCTACATACCGACTCTCTTCGAAACAGGATACTACGAGCTTGAATAAATTTCTACCACACCTTCACCAAAGATTCGTTCAACTGGTTGGTGATATGGTCAAGAAATTTGGCCCTATCAAAGTAGGCGTGGAGCTCTTCGGTCGATTTCTCCTGCAGGCCAAAGAGCTAGAAGAGGTGAAGTCGTTTAATACCAAATTCCTCCCGGTGAGCGATGGTGCCGATTTAGAGGAATTGTTCCAACAATTTTCAACAATCCTGGACAAAAAATGTTCAGAATTCCAGGAAAAAGAAAGCGGTATGTATTACTATTTTATTCGTGGTTACATACTTACTAAACCATTTTTCTTTTGTTATAGGCTGGACGCTCCAAAAACTCCTCTATCTAGATGTAGATATAAATAAGGTGAATCCTCTAAAAGCATCCTCGTATCTCCCGCTACCAAAAGAGATAGATGCTAAGAGAGCTGTTCTAAACGTCAGAAACCAGGATCAAAAATGTTTCATGTGGTCAGTCTTGGCTCACCTACATCCAATTCATTGGACTCAAAACGCCAATAGTGTAAAGAATTATTTGTCATTTGAGAACAAGCTGAAGTTCACAGGTCTAGCATTTCCTATTAAACTGAATGATATCGGCAAGTTTGAACAACTTAATGATATTTCTGTCAATGTATATGGATTGGATACCACATATGAAAATGGTAGAAATATCACTGAGGTTGTTGGTCCGTTGTATTTTACCACATCTCGAAAAGCGAGACATGTGAATTTGCTATTAATTAGTAATGACTCTGGCAATAATCACTACTGTTTAATAAGAAACCTGTCTCGCCTAATCTCGAGTCAATTATCTTCACATTGTAATGTGAAACACTTCTGCGATGGTTGCTTGATGTATTTTTCAACCGAGCAAAAATTGAAAGCTCATCAAGAACACGACTGTGCTCACGTTTCAGTTAAACTGCCATCAACAGATTTGAAGAAGAATAAATACGGAGAAATGGTTCCTGAGAATATTCTGAAATTCATAAATTTCGAAAAGAAATTAAAGGTGCCTTTTGTCGCTTACGCCGATTTTGAAACAATTATCGAGCCTGTTGATACTACAGATAAAGATCTAGGTCACAAACATTCCTATACAGTCAAAACTCACAGAGCTGTCCCTTATTCTTTCGCCTACTACATTAAATGCGACTTTGATGATTCTCATTCGATTTTCAAGACATTCAGGGGTCCTGATGCACATAAAGTTTTCGTAGAATGGCTAGAGACTGATTGTAAATCAATCTATAATCAATTTATGAAAAATATAGTGTCAATGCATCCACT